TAAATTTTAGATGTGAATCACTAAAAAAAATCTTTAAATGCGAATATTTGAGTAATGTATATGAATTATCGTTTGCAAATCTTGTGAATCTCTAAATTCTTGCGAACTTGAAATTCTGATAATCTTACAAATTTGAAATTCTTACGTTCTTGCAAACCTTAAATTTTTATGAATCTTTAAATTCTTGCAAACTTGAAATTCTTACAAACTTAAAATTTTTACGAGCTTGAAATTCTGAAAATCTTGTGAATATGAAATCTTTCTATTCTTGCAAACTTGAAAATTCCTTTCGAAACTGAAATTCTTGTGAATCTGAGTCTTGTGGATCTAAAATTTGAATATTTCATTCTTGTGAACTTGAAATTCTTGTGAATCTAAGTTGTTACGAATCTGAAAATCTTGTGAATATGAAATCTTATGAATATTTCATTCTTGTGAGTTTGAAAATCTTGCAATTCTGAGTTCTTGTGAATTTTTAAAGACATACGAATCTAGAACCTATGCGAAATTTGGAATATGAATCTAGAACATTTGAGAATCTTGCAATTCTTACGAATCTTGAAATTTTTTTTTTTTTACGAATCTTTGAAGTTTTGTGAACCTTTAAATTTTTAAATTGTGAATATTTGGATTTTATGCAAAAATTTTGAAATTTTCTAGACTCAAGCAAAATGAATGGCTTTTGACATTCCTAATTAAAGTTTTTAAAGTTGTTTAGCCTCTATATAAAGGAGCTCTTTTCTAAATTTAAAGTTATTGAGCCTCTACTTAGAGGAATTTTTAAAAAGTTTTCGAAAGTCGCATGCCTTTATTTAGAGGATTTTTTTTAAAAAAAAAGTTGATTAATTTGGATCCGGACATAATGGTTATCTATGTCTTTGTGCAATTTTTGTTTTACAAAAACTGTGTAAAGATAGGTAACTTTAGACACTTTATTTTATTTAAAATTTTTTTCGAGATTAAAATAAGCTTTGACTGTAAAGTGGGCCTAATTGGGATGCTTTGGGCCCAACAAGATAAAAGCCCAAAAGTTTTAATTGTAATTTAATTTTAATATTAATCTTGATTTTGATTTTACTATTAATTTTAATTTAGATTTATATTATTTTAAATTTAGTTTTGATTTTAATTTTGTTAAAAAAAAGTCAAAGTCAGAAAGTAAAAACAAAAAAAGTCAAAAAATGCCAAAATTAAAAAACAAAGGATTTGGGATTCAATCTTGAATTTGATGGTTTAATGAATTTTTTGGGCTTAATTCATGCAATCATATCAAAATTAATCAAACCAAATAGCATTGACTAATTTATAAGAATAAAATCATAAGAAATCCTAGATTATGTGAAAATTTTCCAAAATTAAAGAGATTTGATCTCTATAAAACAAACAAAGAAATCATTAAGGAAAGAGAAAAGAATCAAGCGTAGGCAATAAACAAATTTTGGTAATGATAGCTTTCTGGTTTTTTTTTTTTTTTTTTAGTTTTAGAATTTGGTGGTTTTAATTTAGGGGTTTGTTTTTAGGAAAATCAGTAGGTAAATTCATAAGCTGCTTTTTGGGTTTTGGGATTTTAGTTCTTAAGTTTTGTTTGCTTTTTTTTTTTTTTGGGTTGATTGTTGGAATTGTTTGAAATTTTTGGTATTGGGGAATTTTTGGAGTTTTTTTTTTTTTTTTTAGATTTCTAGGTATCTGGGTTTTTTTTAGGAAATTACTTGAATTTTTTGGTGAGGTTTGATTTTACAGTATGCGAAATTTGGGATCATCACTTGCTTATGGAATTCTTCATCGATTTTTGAGTTTATTTAAATTAGTTAGTTGAATGTTTAGAAAGAGGAAACAAAAAAAAGTCTAGAGAGAGAGTGACTAGAGGGATTCTAAGTAAAAAAAATTTTTTTTGAGCTTTTTAATTCTATTACTAAATGACGACGTTTTGGGAATAAAAGTGTCTAAGATCTGCATGTTTTCCCATATTCGGATTCGACCCATGTGCAACTCAATTTGTGACACTGCTCCTAGTTGCCTTTGTCAAGTTGAGCCAAGCCGTTTTAGCCAAACCGATCCAGCCGTATTTATGCCTGAAGCTGAGTTGCACCCTTAAGCTGAAGTCGAGTCTCATTAAAGGCATTTGGTAATTTTATTTATTTATTTAATTTATTTGTATTAAAATTCTGTTTATTTCTTTTTTTATTTATCTTTTCTTAAAATTAAAAAAAAATTTTCTTCAAAAACAAATTCATGAGTCTTACTAAATTATTGGAGGATTTTTCATTGGTTTAAATTTTAATATATATATATATAATATATATATATATATATATGAATTCTAACCAAACTATTGAAGAATTTTATAATTATATTTTTTATAAAAAAAATAAAAAAAGTTAAATTATTTTATTTTAATCATATCAAATTATTGAAGCATTTAAATCTTGAATTAACTCTTATTAAACTATTAGAAGTTTAATGAATTTTCTTAAAATAAATTTTATAAATAATTTCACAATGAAATCTCACCAAAATTTTGAAAAATCTGCATCAAAATAAATCTTACCAAACTACTAGAGAATTTTACTAATTATTTTTTGAATATAATATGTTAATGAATTTGGCGATGAAACTTCTTTAGAGTAGGACATTAGTCTTTATAAATACTCTTGAAGTGATAAAATTATCTTAAATTGCTATCAAATTATTAGAGTAATTTTAGAATCAATTTTCAATAATTAAATTATTGAGTTAAATTATCAAAAAATGTCAAGGTTTGGATAATTTGAAGTTAAATTGATATCATCTTTTGGATAGGTATTGTGAAGATGTTATAACATTTTTCACGTATAATTGTACTTCTGAACTTAAAATTTGGTTTCATAAACTATAATTACTATTTAAAGATATTTAAGTCAAATTTGAAATTTCTCTTTAAATGAAACAAATTCAGTTAGGTAATTAATCGTACGTAAATAAAATAATTGATATTAACACCTTAAATCGATATCTAATAATAGGTTTACAAATTTATACATCATGATAAAATCGATATATCCACCATACATGTTGTAGTATATATATGCCGCTTCCCCTGTTTCAAATTCCATGCCAATGTGTGGGGTTAAATTGCTTTCAAGACGCTAATCACTTATATCATTACTTTTTTCATCAACATGAGAAAATATCGACTCATGTGTGGTGACCATATCCATAAGTTATAAATAAAAAATAGGAAAAACAAACAATGTCAATTTCTTATTAATCTATAGCAAAAAATCATAGTTTTTGATGATTAAAAAAAATCACAAATCAAAACATGCCATCCATAAACTAGTAAAATAGTTGTCGGCTCCCAAATTAATATACAATGAAAAAAAAGATTAAAGTGGCTTTGTCACATAAAACCAAAAGAAATACTAATATAATCTAGTTGCCGAAATCAACTCATTAGTTATTTTGTTCCTAAGAGAATAAACTATTTGATTTTCTAATGACAAAGGATATCATTGTTTTCAATTGTAATGTATTTAATTTTTCTAAAGATGAATCTTAAATAAGTAAAGGAGACAAGAAAAAAAAAAGAAAATAACCTTTAAAGCATTAACAATGATGGGATTTTTCTTTTTTGGTTGGTGTTATAAGTTGTGATAATGAAGGAATTTTGCTTTTGGTATTGGCTGAATGATGGGTTGAGCAAAGAACATTGGTATAAAATAAAGAAGATGAAGCACTTTTAAGAGTTTAATAGTAGCAAAGTGCCATTAATTGAAGGTAACGCTGAGTAGCAAAGTGCTATTAATTAAAGGTAACATAACACTGACGGAGCATGTTTGACATATGTTTTAATTTTATTGAGGGAACTCTAGGAACTTAATCTAGAGAACTTCACGTAAGTTTTCCCCTCATAAATATAAAATCTCAGAAATATAAAAAATTATAAAATAAATCAAAAAATGAAAATAAAAACAAAATATAATAAAAATAAATTTATTTGCTTTCCTTTTTATCAACCAATATTATTTTTAAGCTAACATGTTATTTACTCTTATAATTATAAATATTCCCACAATCGACAAATATAAAATTTGATCATTCTCATTTTTTTTAAAAAGCCAATTTAATAATCGTGATAAATTTTAATTGGTTAAAAGACAAACTTAAAATAAAAAAGTATGATCATGACAAAAAATAAAAAATAATAAAATTGTAATATATAAATCGCATAAAAAAAACTTGAAATATCAAATAAAAAATCATAGATCATGATTTAAAGATAACAAATTACAAAATATAAACACAATAAAAAAAACTTGATAATTGGTAACAAAAAAATGTAATAAAAATATGAAATACATTTATGTAAACATTTCATCATTAAAAATAAAAAGAGTTGGAAAACTATAAGTCATAAGAAAATTAAAAGTAAAAAACATTAATAATAGAAAATAAAAAATTTTAATAAATTTTAATCAAAAAACATAAATAAAAGAAAACCAAAAGTTAAAAATTCATAAAAATATTAAGCAATAAAAAATTTATTGTGTTTTATGTAATAAAATAAAAAGATATAAATTTAAAATTTATGTGTAAAAGGTTTGACATTTATTATAAAATATTTAAATTTTATATATTTATACGATGTTACGAATAATTTTGAATTAGTATAAGATATTTAATATAATATTAAAATTTTAAAATATAATATTTAAATTATAAATTTATTAATTAATGTAATATTTATTTTTAATATTATTAATTTTAAATAATGACTAACAAAATCAAATTCAGAATTCAAGGACCGAATAAACAGTTATGTGGAGTCTTAATTGCTAATGCCAACGCAACTCGACTATTATTGCAAGTACTAAACGGCATCGTTTTTAGCATAAGAAATTTCTAGACCCACAACGAAACGATGGCGTTTTAAGTTAAAGGGCAATCTTATTCGTGTCCTATTCGAATTCTGTTCTCCCAGGGCAAGCGATCCACCTACATAGAGCTTTCTACTATTCATACCAGTCCTGTCTTTCACTCCAAGCAAGCACTTGTTCCCCTCTCCACTATAAAAGAACGAACAATAAAACCCAAATTTCAATTTAATCTCACATCTCAGCTAAAATTGTTTTAAATCTTATAGCTCTCAAGCCGCCACCGTCTTGGTTCGAAGATGATTCTCAGAATCCGCAGCCGAGACGGCCTCGAACGAATTCAAGTCGACGGCCCTCACATACCAATCTCCCAATTGAAAGCCCTAATCGAATCCCAACTCCAAATCCCCCTCCAGGACCAAACTCTTTCCACCGATCAAAACCTTCTCTTAGCTAAAACCCCGCCGACCTCCTCCGCTTCAGCGACATGGCCGACCCTTCCACCCCACTCTCCGCCCTAAACCTCTCTCACGGATCCATTCTCTTTCTACACTACCACGGCGAACGCACCGTTCGTGGCTGCCCCGCCGTGTCTCCCGCCGGCTCATTCGGCCGCAAAATGACCATGGACGACCTTATCGCTAAACAAACTCGGATCACCCGTCAGGAGTCCCCTCACTGCGACTCCGTTTCCTTCGACCGCGATTCTGCCAACGCTTTCCAACGATACGTCAACGAAACGTTGGCGTTTGCTGCCAAACGCGGCGGGTTCATGTACGGCACCGTTTCGGAAGAAGGTAGAGTGGAAGTTGATTTCATTTACGAGCCACCTCAAGAAGGAATGGAAGACGATTTGATCCTTTTAAGGGATCCTGAAGAAGAGAAATTGGTTGATGCCATTGCGGCAGGGTTAGGGAGGAAGAGAGTAGGGTTTATTTTTGCGCAGACGATAATGCAGGACAAAAAGGACTACAATTTTTCGAACAAGGAGGTTCTACAGGCGGCAGAGCTTCATGCGGAAAGTGGGCTGAAGGAGTGGGTGACGGTTGTAGTGAAGCTGGAAGCCAATGAAGATGGGGGTGCGGACGTGCATTTTGAGGCTTTTCAAATGAGTGATATGTGTGTTAAGTTATTTAATGAAGGGTGGTTTGTTACTGAGTTTGGAGAGAATGATGATCCAAAGCTTTCAAAGATGAAGAAAGACGTTGTTGTCGGTGGGAAAGATGTTAAGGAGGTTGATAATGATTTCTTCTTGGTGGTTGTTAAGATTTTCGACCATCAGGTGCGTAATTTTTGATCCATTAACTGATTCAATCAATTCATTTTGTGGAAATAGTTGCCTTTTATGGTTAAAAATTGTGGTTGTGTTCACTATTCGGTTTTTTGTTTCTAATTAGTCTTCAACCGTGTGAGTGTTTGCATAATTCATGGTGTTAGTTTAGACCATTGTTCACCATAATTTTAGCATGTTGAATTGCTTGCTTAACCGTATCATGTCAATGATGCTTTCGATTGGTTTGTATTGAGGGGGTGCTAATGATTCAGTGAAGGCAAAGAATGCTGGTTATTAATAGTTTAATATGTAGCAAAAAGGAATATGAAGAGGATTGGGGGCATGCAAAATGATATCAACGAGTATTCTTGGAACTTGTGTATGTGAACACAAAAGTAATAATAAGATAATAAGTTCTATCAAGAGAGGTGATTGTAAGTGATCCCTGAATGGATGGGGGAGTTGCAAATGTGCACTCATCAGGGTGATGTTTCAGTGCACAATAGAGTTGTTTATTGTGTCTTTCTTTCATTTTTTTTGAATTTCGTACCAGATCCAGAAGATAAATTCAGATTTATATGTCATGGTTATAACTTAACAGGATGCTTTTGTTAGGCCGAGAAAGAAGCAAAGAGGTGATGCCAAACAGGGGTCTTCCCTTAAGATTGTAGATTGTTTACTGACCTGTAGCAAAGGAAAATGTTTGTAGCTCCTGCTGCTAGTAAACCTTCATATTTTTAGGTTGGTTCACGTTTTGCTGGCAGTTGAAGTATTGTTAGGTTTTTTACATAATGGAAGTAATAGGGAAACCGTGCATATGATTAATCAATTGCTATAAACAACATTTTTACTAATCAAGTCAGGTCAAGGTTAGAAATTCAGGCTGTCAGTCTAAGGTCAGTGGAAAATTGGAAGTGGCCTTTGGCATCGGGAATGGGGGAGTATTCATGTAAGTATAAGCAATACATCTTCTAGTGTCTTTTGTGATATATACTTTAGATAGCCTCTATAGTTCTAGAGTCAATATCCAACGAATTCAACTCCCATTGGTAACCAATATATCTTATTATAGTCTGATATCCATGACTAGTTGGTGCATGATCGCTTTATAGTATTGCATGGAGATGATTCTGGATATAGTGCTGGAGAAACAACCATGTTTCTATGTTTGTGAAATATGCATCTTTACGCTACATGCTGTCAAGAAGCCTTGCCTGAAAGTGCAGCCCTGGCTTTTAACCTCTCTGAGATACTCCCACTCTAGTTTCCCACTTTAAGATCACAACGCTTGTCTCTTTGTAGGCAGCTAACATTAACCATTATCTGTCATGTCTTGCTGCCCTCTAACTAATATTAAGTTTTGAAGTGTATATCATTGTCTGGTCTTCACTATTGTTGCTCCAATGTATAAATGTCATGTAAACATTAGATGCCTGGAACTATACCTGGCAATGAAGGTATGGCCCTCCAAATGTAAGGAAACTTAGGAATCACTTGTGAAAAACTGAAAATACTATGTTAGATGTGTAACGATGCCCAACACTCCTATTAGAGTCTAAGGTTCCAAAACATCATCAAATGTCAATTTCTGCCAGCAGAAATTTGATTTGCCTTAAAGGGGTTCATCTGTATTTGCTGCTAGTCTTACATTGGATACAAGAGTGGTTATAATGTTTTTATTTCTTGGGCTGGACAGGTTAAATGCAGCTATATCTCCATCAGATTGATGCTCACCATCGCTTTACTATTTTTCTTGTTTTTGTTAAGAAAGAGAAAGGTGGGGGGCGGGTTGGGGGTCAGATTTTTTATTATGCACATATAATGTTGATTGTCTGCCCATTCACCTTCCGTTGTTTACTTAAGAACTTACTTTGGAACTCGTGCATTCTTGCTTCAATGCAGGGACCTCTTTCCTCGACCTTTCCCATTGAGAATCGAAACAACCTTGTGACACTAAGGACACTGAAGAGTCACCTTGATAGAACAAAGAGTCTTCCTTTTGTGAAGAGAATTTCAGATTTTCATTTGCTGCTGTTTCTGGCCAAGTCTCTTGGCCTTGGTTCCGACGTTCCTGCACTCGCAGAGTGCGTTAAAGCACAGGCATCTGTGTCAGAAGGTTATCAGCTCCTAATCGAGTCCATGGCCAACACATCTTAATGTTAAATACACGCTTCTATGTTTTTCGAATGTACTGTATATTTATGATTATAACAAATTACTTTATGCCGTTATTTGCTAGTCTCGTTAGTAGTCTCAGTTGATTTCAAAAAAATTTCTGCTGTGCTACAGAGGAGCCACTCCCTTGACAGTTTCAAGTTAAAAAGAACTGGACTGTTTCCCAGCAGGCTTAATATTGTGTATTAGATTCAAAGCTGAAAAGTGATAATCTGGTCGATTGTTTTCCGTTACCCGAAAGTGAGTCGAGTCAGATTTGATGTCCATTTATGTTTATCAGATTATAGCGTTTATCTATTGCTCTTGTGTGGCTTGGTGTGTCTGTGGAACGTGAATCAATGGCATTTTTGGGTTGAAGAGGCTTAGACGTACGTTTTTAAAATTGACCGAAAAAAAAGAAGTGGGTTAAAAAATACGGGCGACAACTTTTTGTTAAAAAAATAATATATCAATATGATTTTGTTAATGCATTTTATGTATTATTATTTTTCTTATGTGGTATGTGTTATCCTCGACGAATTACCACTTTTTTCTTTACGTGTGACTAAGAAAAGTTTTTATTTTTCTCATGTGTTCACTCTTTTTTCATAAATTATCTTTTTTTTTTTTTGTGTTACTAATTTTGTTATGGTTATAATTCTCTATTGTTACTATTTTTTTTTATGAATTGTCATTTTTTCACTTGATAGATTGTTAATAGGCACATATATCAATTTTTAATTAGTTTTTTAATGCTTTAAAGGTACGGATCATCTGTAATCCATTTTAAAAATTATAGTGAGTGAATTTAACAATTTTTTTCTTATTTGTTTAATTTTTATATATTCTAATTTTTTTGTTTGTTACTACTTTTTTCTGTGAATTATTTTTTTATGTGTTGTTATTTTTATATTGAATTATTATTTTTATGTGTTATGAATTGTCAATTTTTTTTTGTTTGTTACTATTACGATTTTTTTATGGTTATCATTTTTTATTAATTTACTGTTTTTTCTTAGTGTTACAATTTTTTTATATAAATTACCATTATTTTTTCTTATAAATTATCATTTTTTCTAAGGTGTTTTTTTTTCTAATGAAATATCAATTTTTAAAGAAATACTGATTTTTATTTGTTACTATTCTTTAATGGAATTAACATTATGAATAATTCAACGTGTTATCACTTTTGTTAAATATTCGTACTTTTTTTTATAGATCATAACTTTTATTACGCGTTACTCTTTTTCATAATATTATCCTTTTTTCCTACATCCTAATTCTTTTCCAACCGTTTTTTCTCTTTACTTTTTACTCATAATTTTTTTTTTCTTTTACCATACTTTCTTCAGACTTGGTAAATTAAAATTATTTCATTTGAAAATATTTTAAATTTCATAAAAAATAAATAATAACTTTTTTTATGTGGCACATCAAATGTACATTTTTATATGTTTAATATCCATATTATATTTCTTATTTTATTAAAAATTAATTTTAAATATATTAACAATATTTAATGAAATATTCTAATTTTCATTAGCTATGGTAGAAAAATCATAAAAGTAAAATTGTGAGAGATTTATTAAAATTTTTATGAAATTCATATTTATAAGTAATGGACTCTGTTATAGTATTTTAATTTAATTAGATAATTATAAAATTATAATAAAAAAATTATAAATAAAATGTTCTCAATCAAAATATAGTGTCAAATTTTAATATTCACTATATAATACATGGTAAATAAACCCTTTGACCGTAACATCAAAGACAATAACGATGTTATAGTTAAAAAAAAGACTAACGATGTCACATGTACGAGTAATTTAAAAAGAAAAATTAAAACATATTAACATCCTTAGGGGCGAGTTAATCCAGTGCATCACTTACCACAGTACGACAATTTCTGACTCGAAATCACCATCGCCCTCAATCAGTATGATCTCACGACTTTTAAAATATTAACGCTCCGGTTTAAGAAAATGTTTTTTATTTTTATTTTTTTAAAAATAGTTTTTATTTTTTTTTAAAAATATACTTGATAAAAAACTAAATATTATTTTTTAAATATAAAAATAATAAATAAATAAAATATTTAATAATAATATTATTAATGTCATTTAATTATAAATATAATATATATTTATTAATTAATGATATTAAAAAATATTTGAATATGATAACTTACAAAAATATAAAAAAAAAAATTCTTTTATTTTCACAATTGATAATATATTTTTTATTTTCATATTTCAATTCATATTTATTTTTATTTTTAATAATAAAATAATTTTTATTTATGTTTTTTATTTTTTAAAAAATTAAAAGTAAAAAATAATTCCGTTTTCTGAATTTAAACAACATCTAAATTTCTTTTGGCGGGAGTTTTCATTTTCTCCTATCTTTCTGCTACTTAGGTCCAACTTAGGGCAAATCTCCGTTTCTCCTTCTGTACTCAAATTTCCAGGTCAAGTTCTCTAGTAGTAATTCAAATCGTAGGTCATGGATGATGACGCGCTACTACCTCCGAAATTACCACTCGCCGTTCGGTAATTCTCTACTCTCTATCACCGCGCATGTAAATCCACACAAGTAGTTTATCGATTGCCCTAATTTTGTTGAAATTGGATGCGCAGAAAAGGGCTAGGCTCAAACTCGAGGCAGTGGAGACGAGCCTAGCAAGGCAAACGGTAGCAATGGGGAGAATCAAGAGAGGAGCAGCAATGCCAGGGACGGTAGCCACAACCCAGAGGAGCGGGAGGGTTCACTCGATGATTTCAAAGAAATTCATCCCAAAACTAAGCGAAATCGAGCTGCTGAGTGGACTTCTGATGTCCTGAACAGGGCTGATGAGAGATTAATTGGTAATTGATTTCGATTTTCTTTTGTTTCTGTTTCTTTTAATTTATATGTTTGTACTGAAGATCTATAGAGTTATGAATGAAGCTTATGATCTTAGTTTGCGTTCGCTAGAGGTTTACACATTTTACACCTTCTGAAAATTGCTCCTTTAAGTACATATTTATCTAATGTTGTTCAGAGTATTTTCCTTGTGGCTTTTTAATTTAGGGACGTGACTAATATAGTTGATTTTGGCATATTAAACTTCTTGTTTCGATGTGATTACCTTCAGAGGTTATCAAAGGTGATGGTAAACGAATTCCTCAAGCTGTTAAGGGCTGGGTTGAGCGATATGAGAAGAATCCAAAACCTGCAATGGTTGAACTCCTAATGATGCTTTTTGAGGTAATTTTTGCAAAATTACCAGTAATGCTTATTTGATATTGAGGAAACAAGTAAAATATCAGAGTTTCAACATAGTGTCCACTACCCACAATATTAAGATGTTGAACTTCATTGGGAAAATTTCCAACTAACCCTGATGCATTCTTAATTCTCTGAATGACTAAACCACATTCTTTGGACTTTTTAACTGCATGCCTTTTTCTCTTTATTGGAGTTTGTGACTGAAACCAAATATTTATGATTCCACAGGCGTGTGGAGCAAAGTATTACATCAAGGAAGAGTTTCTGGATGAGACTGATGTTGATGATGTTGTCCTTGCCCTTGTCAACCTTTTTAGAAGTGTATCCTATGATTCCATGTTTTATTTGTTTCTTGTAATGTTCCCATTTTTCTCTCTTAACCGGGGGGGAGGGGGGTGGTGGTTAATGTTGTTGTGCCGTTTCACCCATAATAACTTATACGGCAGCATATTTTCTATTCCTGCTTAAAATGCACATATTAAGTTCTCTGTTCCCAGAAACTCCTATAACTAGAATATTTTTCTCTACTTAAACTACTTAATTTAGGTTTAAAATTTTTTGGCATACCTCTATGTAAATCATTTTCAGTCCTAAAATCATATCCTTATTTCCTTATTTCTTTTACCATGCATTGGTTAATAATTAATGGTCATCTTTTTCTAGGAGACTTGCTAACTTATTTTAGGTTCAATCATCTGAACTTTCTGTGTACTGCATTGGCTTAACTATGAAACTTCAGGGGGAAGTTGAAGATTACCAAAGTTCAAAAAGGAAGGAATTCAAGAATTTCAAGGAGAATTTTGTTTCATTCTGGGATAATTTGGTTGCTGAGTGGCAGAATGGGCCATTGTTTGATAAGGATTTGTTTGACAAGTCTGTGGACTGTATAATTGCATTGTCATGGTTAGTAGAGTACCAATGCCAAGTACTATCCTTTCGCTGCATTTATGAGGTGACTTATTATGATTTATTTTTGCTCGATGTTGATGCTGAGCAGTACCCCTCCAAGAGTTTACCGTCAAGTTGGTTTTGTGATGGGTCTCCAACTTGTCACATCTTTCATTTCTATTGCAAAAGGGCTTGCTGCACAACGTGATACTACTCAGAGACAGTTAAATGCTGAAAGGAAGAAAAGAGCTGATGGACCTCGTGTAGAGTCATTAAATGACAGGTTATCGGCAACTCATGAACAGAAACTTGTGATAGATGAGATGATGCTCAAAATCTTCACTGGGTAGGGTTTTTAAGTTGATATTTTTTTATATTCAACTTATATAAAAACTTGAGAAATTTGTGTTTGATAAAAATTTTTGTTTGTATCTATCTAACATGTTCCACATGATGCTTTTTGAAGGTTGTTTGTGCACCAGTACAGAGACATTGATCCTAATATACGGATGTCACACATACAGTCGCTGGGTGTTTGGATTTTGTCATATCGTACGTTGTTTTTGCAGGATCTATATTTAAAGTATCTTGGATGGACACTAAATGACAAAGTAAAATCTGTTAATTGAGTTATAGATTGATATTTGATTTGTATTCTTACTAACTGCTCCATAAATCTAAAGTGCTCTTTTTTTTTGCCTTTCATTTAATGTGTTTGAAGAGTTCTGGTGTAGAAAAGCTGCTGTCCTTGCCTTGCAAAATCTCTATGAAGTGGAGGATAACGTGCCAACTTTTAGTCAATTTACTGAGAGATTTTCTAACTGGATGATTGAGCTTGCTGATGACATTGATGTTTCTGTGGCTGTGTGCGCTATAGGGCTTGTAAAACAATTACTTAGGTAGCCATTTTTTAAAAATCTTTCCAGTAGATTAGTTGCTGATTTTCTTATGGAGTTGTCTGTCCTCTGAAATTGGATCTCTCCGTGTTTTGCAGGCATCAGCTTTATACCTGATGACAACTTGCGTCCTTTGTATGATCTCCTTATGATGATCCACCAGAAATCAGGTGTGCCATAGGAGAATTAATATATGATCACTTAATTGCGCATAATTTAATAGCTCCCAATCTGGCTCAAAAGGTTTTGATCTTCTTTAGATTT